GTTTCACCATGTTGACCAGGATGGTCTCAATCTCTTGACCTCGTGATCCACCCGCCTCGGCCTCCCAAAGTGCTGGGATTACAGGCTTGAGCCACCGTGCCCGGCCTAATTAAAATATTATTGACCAGGTGTGGTGGCTCACACCTGTAATCCCAGCACTTTGAGGAGCTGAGGCAAGTGGGTCACTTGAGGTCAGGAGTTCAAGACCAGCCTGACCAACATGGTGAAACCCTGTCCCTCCTAAAAAATATATATATATATATATATATATATGTATATATATATATATATATATATAATTAGCCAGGCATGGTGGCACACGCCTGTAATCTCAGCTACTTGGGAGGCTGAGGCAGGAGAATTGCTTGAACCAGAGAGGCGGAAGTTGCAGTGAGCTGAGATAGTGCCATTGCACTCCAGCCTGGGCAACAAGAGCAAAACTCCATCTCAAAATAAATAAATAAAAAATAAAATGATGTTATCCAAGCTGGCAATCACTGGGTTTTATTATGTTTCCCTATTTTACAAATGAGGAAATGGGCTAGAGGGGCTCCACAGTGATCATCCACATGTTAATTACATGCCCAGCTGACTTTCTCAACCATGTCCTTCTCTCTCTGTCATTCTGTATGTACAAGGGGAACATCAGCAAATTTTTATATTAGCTTAAAAAGCAAGGCATAAATCAGATTGTGCTGCCATTGCCAAATAAAACTTCAGTAGCTGTTTCTTATACCTTCTGCTTGGAAGAGATAAGGGTTTTCTTTATTTTTTGTAGAGACGGGATCTGGCTCTGTTGCCCAGCCTGGAGTACAGTAGTGTGATCATAACTCACTGCAGCCTTGAACTCCTGGGCTCAAACCCTCCCACCTCAGCCTTCTGAGTAGCTGGGGACTACAGGTGCATGCCACCGTGCCTGGCTAATTTTATATCTTCTTTTCTTTTTTTTTTTTAAGATGGAGTCTTGCTCTGTCACCCAGGCTGAAATGCAGTGGTGCAACCTTGGCTCACTGCAACCTCCGCCTCCTGGGTTCAAGTGATTCTCCTGTCTCAGCCTCCTGAGTTGCTGGGAATTACAGGCATGCGCCACCATGCCTGGCTAATTTTTGTATTTTTGTTTTTTTTAATAGAGAAGGGGTTTCACTATGTTAGCCAGGCTGGTCTTGAACTCCAGACCTTGTTATCTGCCTGCCTTGGCCTCCCAAAGTGCTGGGATTACAGGTATGAATCACTGCGCCCAGCCATATTTTATTTTTCTAGAGATGGGGCTGTCGCTATGTTGCCTGGGCTGGTCTCAAACTCCTGGCTGTAAGTGATTCTCCTGCCTCGGCAAAGTACTGGGATTATGAAAATGAGCCATTGTGCCCAACCTTTTTTTCTAAAAAAAAGTAAAACTGTTTCAAGGAAAAATATGCTGGTTTGTTTTTCTGGCGGCCTTCAAATGATCCAGACTCCCTGTGACCTGTCTGTCTTGTGTTACAGCCTCATTATGTTTTACTTCATCGCCTTAGCTGGAGCACACAAACGGGTGGTCATCCAGCTCCGAGAGCAGCTGTCCCTGGTAAGGAAGCGTAGCCCCAGAGGGTCATGGTGGCGGACATTTACGCAGGACACTGCAAGGAAAATGGTGTTTTCCTGGGAGGGAGTGAAATTGCTGCAGCCTTCTCTCGCCACCACCTCCTCAAAACTCTGCCTTCAGGCCCAGCCCCATCCAGCTTCATTTATTCACTGATTCATCCATTCCTTCAAGATGTGTATTAAGGAGGGTGCGGTCGCTCATGCCTGTAATCACAGCACTTTGGGAAGCCGAGGCAGGCAGATCGCTTGAGCTCAGGAGTTTGAGAGCAGCCTGGCCAACATGACGAAACCCCGTCTTTACTAAAAATACAAAAATTAGCTGGGCATGGTGGTGGGTGCCTGTGGGCAGCTACTTGGGAGGTTGAGGCAGGAGAATCCCTTGAACTCAGGAGGTGGAAGTTGCAGTGAGCTCAGATTGCGCCACAGCACTCCATCCTGGGCCGCAGAGTGAGACTCCATCTCAAAAATAAAAATAAAAATGTATTAAGCACCTATTCTATGCCTTGTACTGTGCTTGGTGCTGGGACACTTTGGTGAACAAGAGACAAACAGCTAGGTAGTTAATAAGATAAATGCTGATTAATTATAGATTCTATGAAGATAGTAAAAACAAGGTAGAGTGATGAGTGGGCCATCTGCTACTACAGATGTGGCTGCAGAAGGCGTCTTTGAGGAGGTGTTTTTTTTTTTTTTTTTTTTTTTTTTTTCCTTATGGGTTCTCACTCTCTTGCCCAGGCTGGAGTGCAATGGTGTGTTCATAGCTCACTGCAGCCTCAAACTCTTGAGTTCAAGCCAGCCTCCCACCTTAGCCTCCCAAGTAGCTGGGACTAGTGGTGTGCATCACCACACGTGGCTAATTTAAAAATTTTTTATAGACACGAGGTCTCCCTATGTTGCCCAGACTAGTCTCGAAGTCCTGGGCTCAAGCGATTCTCCCCTCTTGGCCTCCCAAAGTGCTGGGATTATAGGCATGAGCCACTGTGCCTCACCCTAGCTGAGACTTGAATAATAGAGAGAGGAGCCCATTATCAGAAGTCCTATTTAAGGAAGAGAATGAGGCAAAGGGCACAGTGAGGGTATAAGCCAGGCACTTCAGAGGGACAGGGGGAAGTGTGGTGTGGCCACAGGGTGGTGAGTGATGGGAAGAGGCAAGGTGTTCTAATAGCAGCCAGAGTCATTGAGTCATAGTGCCTTGATGGCTCCGTTAAAAAGATTGAGCAGGAGGGAAGCCACTGAAAAGTGTTAATTTTATTTATTTATTTATTTTTTTTTTTTTTTTAGAGGTCTTGCTCTGTCATCCAGTCTGGAGTGCAGTGCCGTGATCTCAGCTCACTGTAACCTCTACCTCCTGGGTTCAAATGATTCGCCTGCCTCAGCCTCCCAAGTAGCTAGGGTTATGGGCACGCATGACCACACCCGGCTAATTTTTGTATTTTTAGTAGAGAGTGGGTTTTGCCATGATGGCCGGACTTTTTTTTTTTTTTTTCTTCCTTTGAGACAGGGTCTCACTGTGTCACCGAGGCTGGAGTGCAGTGGCATAATCTCAGTTCACTGCAACCTCCACCTCCAGGGTTCAAGTGATTCTCCTGCCTCAGCCTCCTGAGTAGCTGGGACTACTAGCTAGGCATGTGCCATCTTGCCCGGCTAATTTTTGTATTTTTAGTAGAAATGGGTTTTAACCATGTGACCAGGTTGGTCTCGAACTTCTGACCTCAGGTGATCTGCCTGCCTCAGCCTCCCAAAGTGCTGGAATTACAGGCATGAGCCACCACACCTGGCTATACTGTGCATTTAAAAAAAAAAAAACAAAAAAACAGCTACTGCCGGTCACGGTGGCTCACGCCTGTAATCCTAGCACTTTTGGAGGCCAAGGTGGGTGGATCACCTGAGGTCAGGAGTTCAAGACCAGCCTGGCCATCATGGAGAAACCCATCTTTAGAAAAACAAACAAACAAAAACAGCTGCTTTGTGGACAAGGGGCTATGGAGCAGACACAATGACAGACCAGATAAGAGGCCATTACAATAGTCCAGGGGAGGCTGGGCGTGGTGGCTCACACCTGTAATCTCAGCACTTTAGAAGGCTAAGGCATGTGGATCACCTGAGGTCAGGAGTTGGAGACCAGCCTGGCCAACATGGTGAGTCCCTATCTCTACTAAAAATACAAAAATTAGCCAGGCATGGTAGGGGGCACCTGTAATCTCAGCTACTCGGGAGGCTGAGGTAGAATTGCTGGAACCTAGGAGGCGGAGGTTGCAGTGAGCTGAGATCGTGCCACTGCCCGGGTGACAACAGCAAGACTCCAGCTAAACAAACAAACAAACAAAAACTAGTCCAGTGGTTAGAATCCTCAGCCCTGAGTATGGTAGGTAATGATGGTATTTGTTTCCAAATATATTAAATGTACTTGTGAACCTCTTGTTTTTTAGGAAAGTCGTGACAAGCGCTACCTAATCCAGAAACTAACAGAAGCCCAAAGGGACACAAGGAACTAACTAGACTGAGCGTGAAGTGAAGATGGCACTGCCCGTTGCTTCTAAGCTGACCTAGTGACTCTGCTGAGCCTCCAGAGTCTACCTGGATTTTCAGTGGACATTGAAAAATATATTTTTCTGGAGTTTAGGCTTTTGCACACGTGCAGTTGTGTTTACCTAACCTAGCCCCTAATTAGGGCTTTAGTAACTTAGAAAAGCAAGGAAAAGGGGAAACCCAAGCCTTTGCCTACCGACTGGCCACTCACTGATGCCTCTACCCAAAACCAACAAGCTGTTGAGCTGCGAGTTTATGTGCACAAGTGCTTTGGGATGTAGACTGGAGCGCAGCCTGCTAATCAGACCAGCCCACCAATGTTTAACAAACAGAATTGGAGGCTGGTTTCTTAAACACACATGTACACATTTTTAAGGGCTCTTTGTTTTCTTGTGCTTACAATTTTTAATGCATGTGCCTTTATTTCACAAAAACATGTGGCTGGGTGCGGTGGCTTATGCCTGTAATCCCAGCACTTTGGGAGGCAGGCTGATCGCCTGAGGTTGGGAGTTTGAGACCAGCCCGACCAACATGGAGAAACCCTGTCTTTATTAAAAATACAAAATTAGCCGGGCAAGGTGGTGCATGCCTGTAATCTCAGCTATTTGGGAGGCTGAGGCAGGAGAATCACTTGAACCCCAGAGGCAAACGTTGTGGTTAGCCGAGATTGTGCCATTGCACTCGAGTCTGGGTGACAAGAGCAAAACTCCATCTCAAAAAAAAAAAAATGTAGAATATCTTTTAAGATTTCCGTTATGGTAAAAACCTATGCAATAAATACCTCATTGTAAGCTTAATCAAAATAGGTAGGTCTGCACCTTTTAACAGAAGTTTGTTATTGTTTAACGTAATCAATTTTCATTTTAATATTGTCAAAATATTTTTCAAAGCACTGTAGTTTTGTAATGGACTTTTTGAGCCTTCCTTCCATTGTGTTTCTTCCTTTCACTGGCTCCACACCTTTCCTGGGGAGTAGCCTGGAATTTAAAGTTGGGCGCAGGTTTTAGAAAGCCGTTGCTCTTAACAATAATTCTCCCCTCCCATCTCCACTCCACTACTCAGAAATGACTGACTCCTTGCTCAGAGGAGCAAGGATTTCTTATAGTCATTTTCTTGCTTTTCCACAAAGACAGTTTTTAAAGTGGGATATTTTTATAACTGGGAGACCAATAAGCTTTTAGGTCTTTTCCTGTCTTGTTAAGGTTTATGGGTTTCTAAATCTAATAACTGATGTCATGGAATTTTGAGTAACCAAAGATTCATTCCAATCTCACTTAAAAAAATAAATTATGCCAGGTGCAGTAGCCCATGCCTGTAATTCCAGCACTTTGGGAGGCCAAGGCGGGCAGATCACTTGAAGTCAGGGGTTTGATACCAGCCTGGTCAACATGGCAAGACCCCGTCTTACTAAAGTATAAAAATTAGCCGGGCATGCTGGTGTGTGCCTGTAATCCCAGCTAGTTGGGAGGCTGAGGCATGAGAATCACATGAACCTGGGTGGCGGAGGCTGCAGTGAGTGAGATCGTGCCACTGCATTCCAGCCTGGGTGACAGAGGGAGATCCCGTCTCAAAAAAAAAAAAGACAGGTAAAAAGAAAGAAAACCAAATTGTAGTAAGCATTTCTGCCCAGTGCTTTTATATTAATATATATAACATTCTCACCTTCACCAGACTTCTGAGGATATTCAAGTTTTCTGTGTGTGTGTGTGTGTGTGTGTGTGTGTGTGTGTGTTGAACACAATGAAAATGTTTTGCCGTTTTCTTTCCTTATTGCAAAAGTGATACTGAAATATGCTAATTAATTTATTAGTTTTAGTTAAATGCTGCTAATTTGCATATATCTTACTTGAAGGTTTTTATATGGTTTGATAGCTTTAAACTTCAGATAACGTCTGTATAATTTTTAAAGTGCAGCTTTCTCTAACAAATGTGCCTTACAACTTCTGATTAAACAGTGTCTTGAAGGTTTTAAAATGTGATTGTGTAAACTAGAATTCAAGGAGGCTTCTTGTCAGCAGTCAAGTGATGATGGAAAACTGTAACAGTTCGTAAAGTTGCTCTTTGCTTTTTCCTAAAACAAGAGAGAAGAAAGTGTTTAATGTAGTCCTCAGATGAGTGCTTTTAAAGCTCCTTGGCTCTGTTGAAGCCAGGGAGGGTGTATGTGTATAACTGGCCAACTGGTTCATTTTGTCCACTGCCTGGATACAGCCCATTTATCAAGACAGAGGGATTGCAACAGAGAAAGAGTTTAATTCATGCACAGCTGGCTAAACAGGAGACCGGAATATTATTATTATTTAAATTTTATTTATTGTTTTTAGAGATGGGGTTTCACCATGTTGGCCAGGCTGGTCTTGAACTTCTGATCTCAAGCAATCCACCAGCCTCAGCCTCCCAAAGTGTTGGGATTACAGGTGTAAGCCACCGTGCCAGGCCCAGAATATTATTATTACTCAAATCAGTCTCCCTGAAATTTTGGAAACTAGGTTGTGTGTGTTTGGGGGGAGGGGCACGGTGTGCTTTTTAGATGGAGTCTCGCTCTGTTGCCCAGGCTGGAGTGCAACGATGCAATCTCTGCTCACAGCAACCTCCACCTCCTGGGTTCAAGCGATTCTCCTGCCTCAGCCTCCCAGGTAGCTGGGACTATAGGCGTGCACCACCACGCCCAGCTAATTTTTTTATTTTTAGTAGAGATGGGATTTTGCCATGTTGGCCAGGCTGGTCTCGAACTGCTGACCTCAAGTGATCCTCCCACCTTGGCCTCCCAAAGTGTTGGGATTGCAGGTGTGAACCATCATGCCTGGCTGGAAACTATTTTTTTAATGGATAATTTGGTGATGGGGTGCTAGGGTGTTGGGAATGTTGATTGGTTGGGTCAAAGACGAAATCATAGGGAGTTGAAGCTGTCCTCTTGCTCTGTGTCAGTTCCTGGATGGGGGCCACAAGAGCAGATGAGCATTTTTTGATCTGGGTGGTACCAGCTGACCAATCAAGTGCAGGATCTGAAAAATACCTTGAGCACTAATCTTAAATTTTACAATGTTAATGTCATCCCTGAGAGCAACTGGGGAGGTTTAGAATTGTGCAGGCTCTAGCTGCATGACTCCTAAACCATAATTTCTAATATTGTGGCTTTGTTAGCCCTACAAAGGCAATCTGGTTCCCAGGCAAGAAGGGGGTTTCAGAAAAAGGACTGTTATCTTTGTTTCAAACTTAAACTGTAAGTTCTTCCCAAAGTTAGTTTGGCCTATGCTCAGGAATGAACAAGGACAGCTTGGAGGTTAGAATTCTGCAGGATAGAGTCAGGACAGATCTCTTTCAATGTCATAATTTCCTCACTGTTATAGTTTTTGCAAAGGCAGTTTCATGTGTGTATTCTTTTTTTTTTTGTTTGTTTGTTTTTGAGGCAGAGATTCACTCTGTTGTCCAGGCTGGAGTGCACTATGTGAGCTTGGCTTATTGCAACCTCCACCTCCCGGGTTCAAGCGATTCTTGCGCCTCAGCCACCCGAGCAGCTGGGACTACTGCTCGGGTGGCTGAGGCGCAAGGTGGGAGGCTTGTGCGCCACCACACCCAGCTAACTTTTGTATTTTTAGTAGAGATGGGGTTTTGCCAGGTTGGCCAGGCTGGTCTTGAACTCCTGATCTCAAGCACCACAACTGGCCTCGTGTGTATATTTTGAATTTATAAGATAAGCTGGGTGTGGTGGCTCATGCCTGCAATCCCAACACTTTGGGAGGCCGAGGTGGTGGGTCACCTGAGGTTGGGAGTTCGAGACCAGCCTGACCAACATGGAAAAACCCTGTCTCTACTAAAAATACAAAATTAGCTGGGCGTGGCGGCATAAACCTGTAATCCCAACTACTTGGAAAGCTGAGGCAAGAGAATGGCTTGAGGCTGGGAGGCGGAGGTTGCGGTTACCAAGATCGCAGCATTGCACTCCAGCCTGGGCAAAAAGAGTGAAACTCCATTTCTTTTTTCTTTTCTTTTCTTTTTTTTTTTTTTTTTTTTTTTTTTTTTTTTTTTTTTTTTTTTTTTTTTTTTTTTTTTTTTTTTTTTTAGCAAAACTTCATTTCAAAAATAAAATAAAAAAGATAAAACTACTTCAAGCACTCCCTACACCGCTCAGAGAACTACCTATCGATATTTATATTATTCATTCCAGAGAATGGTAATGAATATGTATTACAATTCAAGCAGATATATATGTGCAGTTGTGTGTGTGAAATATGTACTTCTGGGCTTCCCTTTTCTGCTCCTTAATAACATCTTGAAGATCTTTCCATATATACAGCAACTTCATTTTTTTTAGGGTGACATGGCATTCCATGATATCAATGCATACTTTATAACCATTCCGCAGCTAACAGATTGCTTTTACCACCTCCTCATTTATAAACACTGGAAACTGGAATTTTTAATGTCCTTGAAAACCTTTCTCTGTCTTGCCCTATTCTGCCCCAGGCTCTTGTTCTTAAGGCAGCCTTGCAGGTTCCCAAAATCACAAAATATTCTCATCCCGGCAAAGAGAAGAATGCAGTTAGGTGAGTCCCAGGATAGCACTACAAGGTCTGACTCTTGGGAAGAGAGAACTTCCAAATGTATTTTCTTTGTATAGGGTGTGACTTTATGAGTAAGTTACATTTGGTCTCTTTCCTTTCCAACACATGGCACCTGCTTGGGACATGGAATGTCTCTGCATCTTGCTTTATTGTCAGATTTTGTGCAACTGTTTTCAATTCTCTGAGATAAAGGTCCTATTGATTGATTGATTGAGTCAGGCTCTTGCTCTCTCACCTGGGCTGGAGTGCAGTGGCTCGATCTCAGCTCATGGCAACTTCCACCTCCTGAGTTCAAGCAATTCTCCCAACTCAGCCTCCTGAGTAGCAGGGATTACAGGTGCCTACTATCACGCCCAGCCAATTTTTGTATTTTTAGTAAAGATGGGTCGGCACCATGTTGGTCACGTGATTCACCTGACTCGGCCTCCCAAAGTGCTGGGATTATGGGCGTGAGCCACCGCACCTGGCCTAGGTCCCTTATCTTTAAGTGGAAAAATAATACCTGCTACTTTTGCACCAATCAGGTAAAAACAAAAACAAAACCATGCATTTGTTTTTATTTTAGGGGGATGGAATTAGGAAATAGTAAACATTTTTTGTTTTGAAATTTTGTTTTGCCATTATAAAAATTCTTTTTTTTAATTGAAAATACATAGACTATCAAAAGCAACAGAGAAAAAAATTTAAAAAGCACCATTTATGGGCACCCACTGTTAATTTTGACAAAATTCCTTTCAAGATAGAAAGTATGGTCCGGGCATGGTGGCTCAGGCCTGTAATCCTGACACTTTGGGAGATCAAGGCAGGTGGATCACCTTAGGTCAGGAGTTCGAGACCAGCCTGGCTAACACGGTGAAACCCTGTCTCTACTAAAAATACAACAATTAGGTGGGTGTTGTGGCACATGCGTGAAATCCCAACTACTTGGGAGGCTGAGGCAGGAGGATCGCTTGCACCCCAGAGGCGGAGGTTGCAGTGAGCTGGGATCATGCCATTGTACTCGAACCTGGGTGACAAGAGTGAAACTCCATCTCAAAAAAAATAAATAAATAAATCT